GGGTTCTGAACTCTGTAAGCGTCTTGCAACTTTACTTAGGCATAATAAATCAAATGAGACAGTTTTTACCTTTAATTTAATTTACAAGTATTTCGAATACCTGCGTAAATCTGCTCCTTAGCACGATTGCAATATTTCCAAACTCTGTACAATTTATTGATGGTGATAACCTCACTGGTCTATCTACTATCATTTGTCAATTTACGTTTCTCATTATTAATATGTTTACCCACACTCAGTACCGGAAATATATGATGTACTTCTTAATTATCTGCTTGACAGTTCGAGGGTTGATTCCCGAATTATTCCCGTATTAATTCTTTTAAAATAATGATTAATAAAGCGCGGAATGTACGCATACATTTTGTTTATGCTCTAAGTGTTGCGAAAATCCTACCGACGTGGTTGCCTGAGGGCAATACTCTACCTTTGTAGTAGTAAATAACACTCGTTGTTTGTTTACGAAGTGTAAAACACGTTTCAACTGATGAGCATTAATGTACGCTACAAAATAATTACCATATTGTTCAAAAATAGACCTGATGTAATTAGTCTGTATGTAAGCCCCAACATTTCAAAAATGTTGATTATGATTGGTGATTCAGAATGGGTTTATTGATAATGTTTCGAAATGGCAAACTGATGAGCACTATTTGGTAAATACCACAACCATATACCCCTACAAAGGACTGGACCTTTACCGCGCAATATCGGAAACAGAATGGTCAACCAAAGGTCAGCGTCAGGAACTATAACACGCTTACTTCGTCTCGTCCCCTTTATGCGTAGGGGCATTGACTTCGGGAATTTCCTCTGGTTTCCACCGAAACTTACTCTTGAGGACAGGGTGGACTATGTGGGAATGGTGAATCGACACATCGGGCGGTCTTGGAGGATGACAGAGCAAACAAGATGAAGGGAAGGATTCAGCGCGCTCCATGTCCACTTGATGAGAAACTGTTACTGCTTTCAACGGGATGAGGATTGATGTGTAACAGTTCTATCACGGAACCTATCCGAGGAAACTACAGAGGTCACTGATCGCAACGCTACGATTTACACGCATTCTCCGATAACGGAAGCCAGCAGAAATATTTATCTAATTCGATTAGACACCCCGAACAATTAGTACGAGCCTTTGGACAACGTCAAAGGGAAATTGGGATTCCTGAGATTTTAAAGAAATGAACAGGAACTAATATTTTCTAAATAATAAAAAATAAAAATTGAATTTCAAGCAATTGAAAATAAATAAAAATCAAAAATATTTTTGCGTATGTAATATTGTTAGAAATTTTCCAAAACTAACAAGTTGTGAAAAAAAATAATGAAAGATGTTTGAAAATGGTGTAGATGAATGGATATTATAAATAATTGTTCGTTTCACGATTTTTATCACAGCCATTTTACTAAAGCTGAAACACCATTGATTAAATTGATTCGACTTTGTCTCAATAGAGGCCTTTGCCCCAAATTCATTGTTCACTACCGTAGTTACATCAAAGTCCTCGCTAAAGTGCAATAATGATTTTTGTGAGTCTATACGTGTGGTGGGTAAATGATTTCTTTGCCCATTTATTCAGAAACGAGGTATACGTAGGAATCACAATGCCTCCCAATCAGCTGTGCTACAGAGGCAACAATATTCCCGCTGAGTTATCGCAGCTGATCGTACAGCAGTCAGGAGCAGATACATTGTGGAACGGTCGAGTGCTCGAGTTGTTAACAAAGTGAGTTCGAGTACGCATATTTGTGTACGGAACCAATAAATTGTACATAGCTAACAGGGGCTGAGCAGCGCAATCTGTAGCAAAGTGCTTCAATTGTTAGTTGTTAGAATATTACCTCACACAAGAGTTCAAGTGTCTGAGGAATGCAATGGAAACATGGCTATGTTACAGTCCACAGTAGCTGCCCGTACAATATGTACTACAAGTTCATGCTCATGAGTGTGAAATAAGGACCAATTTGCAACAAGGGGGTCGGATCAGTTAAGCATTTTAGCAAAATCACAGAGGCGCTATGTTGAATGGAAAATCTATAATTCTTATGTCATAATGTAAACTAAAATCATGATATTGGAAACATATTCACTGTGACCACAAGTACTATTATTGTACATGTAAAAATAATATTTTATATATTCTTCCCACTGTGGATTGCGAACAATTCGCTTTTCTCTGTGTACATGCGTAGCTACAATCATGTAAGCTGTGACAATGATTTTCGGTTCCCAAGCTTCGAGGGCACTTGAGTGGTCAAAAATGACTTCTTTTGCCAGTGAACACCTAGAGAGAAATTTCGTACAACGAAACTTCACTTACGACATGTGCCTCTAAATGTTTTGCAATTTCTTATTCAAGATGTTCAGCGGGTCCCATATAGTCTTAAGTCAAGGAGATTTCATGTACCTGCCAAACATCTGTGCGAACATGATTGCGTAACAATCTCAGGCAAATGCCACATGTGCAACTCCTTTATATGAAATTAGCCACTATACGTTCATTGGCTAATACTTATCGTTTTCGATCCCCCTAGATGATTGTAATATTTATTCTGAGACACGAAATCTGTACACTGCTTATGAGAACTAAGAACAGTTTGAAAGGATATTAGCTTATGATTTTTTCTAATCAACTTTTTTTCCACTATTTGTTCAACACTTCCGACGAATATTGTAATTACGTGAAATTAAACAGGAGGAAATGTTCTGTGACCGAACGTGTTCTTCATGGATAATTTCTTGGACGAATGCTGATGTGTGTGCAGCAATTAAGGCACTCATGTTGCTTTCCTCATCTTTCCCTATTCTCAAGAACTGTCACTTACCTCACGATAAAAAATAATTAAAATTAATCCACGTATATGTTAGAACTAAACTAATTTTACGACATACATAGTAAAAATTAATAGCACACGCCTCTAATTTCGACCTTAATCACATCTAGTTTTCTCACAAAATGTGTGTATAATCATATGCAAATTGGCCGGTTGTGTAACTGGCCGACGTTTTCATCACCCAATTTCGCGCATGGACACGTGCGTAGAACCGGATTAGCCATGGGGGGGGGGGCAGGCAGTTGTTTTCCTGAATACCAATTACTCACAAATTATTGTATGTACTATTCTTGTAGAAAATGTATAATAGGTTTTTTCAACGTACATTTTTAAGTATGTCCATGGCAAACATAGCAAACGTAGCAAAAATAATTTCAATAATATTAGTAGCACACCGAGTTTAATGAAAAAATACTTAGTTGCTTATAATGTAATATAACAGAATATTCTTTATGACTTAAAAAAAGTTTTATCACTTCTTTAAAACATCTTTGAACTCCATAATTTTACTAACGAATGATGTCTTTGCAGCCCGGTTTTGAATTTTTAACTGCATGTTATAACCAGTTTATAATTTTTAACAGAAGATATTATGTCAAGCTGTGCTTTACGCTACAACAAAATTAATCAATAAGTAAAAGAGATTGTGAAATCTGGGCGAAACAGGATTGCGACCTAATTCGTGAAGTTGACAGTGGTGAAGTGTTATGACGTGTTTGTCAAATTTATTCAACTACATTATTCTTTAAATACCCTTTTTTGTATAAAAATGTGTCGATTTAAAATAGAAACTTATTTACATGAAATGAAAATTTGTAGGCATATTTACTTATTGTAGTAATAGTGATTTGCATCGAACCAATTCAATGTTAATTATATATAAATGGAAGAATGAATTCAGCAACAATATTTATATTATTAGAAAACATAAGTTAGTGAATTGTTTCTATACAATAAAATGTAATACATACTTGTGAGCGTGATTTGATTAAACTTAAAACTAAGGTGTTTGTGAACACTTTGCAATCTTGGAATTATTGAACTCGAGGGTGCTTGAACTGTAATATTTGGTATTAAATGAGAAATACAACAAATTTCATTATTTGGAAGTAAATATTCGTATGAAAAAATGTCATGGACTTGTGACGAGTTCGCGCGTTGTTCCTATTCAGTGCCACACATGAGAAATTATTTAACAGAAAACGGGAGGTCAATTAGGATGAAAACAGGAGATCAAATAAACAGTTCATATTCATAAAAACGTAAAAAATAATTTTATGAACGCGCGGAAATACAAATTAGACACATGTCAATATTTACGGAGCTTCAATTGAGTTTGACAGGAGCTCTAACATTTTAATTGGTTTATATGTAACAGGTGCTTACGTCACAGCTCTATTGGCGAGAAGGCCGAGGACGTTGACAGTCGAATTCGTCGAACTTCACATTGACGTGCAAATAACCAGAACTCCATCGAGGAGCAGAGCTATCTTGTAATTTCATGTTTCATTGTGACTTGCTCTTCATTTATTATATCAATTGTTGACGAATGTGAATATCAGAGACATTTCTAATACAAGCTCATTACCTTAAAAGCTATGGAATTGATGAAGGTTTTAACAAAAATAAAAACACCTTAAAAATCCATAAATGTGATATTATTTTGTAACCCCTCCCCCAAAATAAGCATTAAATTTAAAACGAAAATTTCAGAATTTGCAGATAACCTTGTAAAGAAAGTAGCAGGTGCACAAGCAATCTGAAACACATGTTAGCATTTTACATCAGTCGGAAACGATGTGTTATATTCCCTTAAAACTGAATTTTTCGTGCCTCCATTGGAGACGAGTTATGTTTTCCTTATGTCGTAATATACAAAACGTTTCTGTCCTATTTCATTGTTTGCAGCTTCTGGATACCACTACTAGCTTTTAGAGGCGTTCAAAGTTCGGTTCCAATTTCAAAAAATTTACGTCTTTGGAAAAAAAGAATTGCAAACTGCGGAATGTACCCAAGGGTGCAACTAACTGATAACATTTTCAATACTAAAAATGTGAGTGATTAAAAACTTAAGTTTCAGCAATGGGTTCGGTGTGTTTTTTGAATCTCAATTAAAGCGGTTATTAAGTGATCTAAGCCACATTGCACATTTCACGTTCCAGAGCCCCAGCAAACCCCTCGCACTAGCCACCACACACACTGCATCCTGTCAGCGAGACAATCAAAACGCCGACCGGAGCACGTGGGAACGCGCGTAGCTCTGTCCGGGCGCCGCCGCCGCCGCCGCCGCGCCGTGCTGAATAGTGGCGAGCTCCCCGTGGGCGGCGCTGTCGCCCTTGGGCTGCAATTCCCCGCGCAAATCGCCTCACAATCAACAGCGCCGCAACGCCAGAGCGCGCGCGCGCGCAACGCCAGAGTTCCCGCGGCGCCATTCGCCGCGCCTCCGCCACGGCCGCCTGGCGACGCCTTTGCGCGGGCCGCACCGTGGGCTTTGGAGGCTCTGGGAACGGGGCCGGCGCATGGGAATTCGATCACTCAAGGGCACCGCAAAAAACGTGTATCTCTTGTATGTTCATGTGTTCCCTTTGGAGTAAACAACACGGTGATTTCATCGGTACGATACACTGCACAGAATGTCTCAATAAATGTTAGAAACTTCTAGGGCATGTAGAGGAATTGAAGATGATTACTTTTTGCTAATGAACATGAAGTAGGAAATTGCATATAAAGGGGTTAACACATTTATGCACGAGACATCTGCCTTTGATTTTTAGTCAAACCCGAATGCACAAATGCCCGACAGGTCAATGAAATCTCCTTGATTGCGACAGATCGTTATCTACCAATTATTTGTGCATGCGGTGTTGTATAAAAATTAGGGACAATTGCCACATGTATATATTATATAATTTTGTTACATTTTGCAATTTACCACATGTTCGTCAGCGGAATGTTTACATTTTCGATACCCCAAACTGTCCTAGAAGTTTATAACATTTATTGAGGCGATTTTGTACATTTGAAATATGAGAGTAATGCAATAGAGGATGCTAATCCATATCTTCTGAATATGAACATTTCTGAAAGTAGACTGTTATTAAATGTATTTCAGTGAATGAACAAATAGTACTCTTCTGTGAAGGTGCAAAATATACCACATTCTTTCAATTTGCATCAAGCATATATTTTTTATTATATAGAACTTCGTTTATCCATCATTGACAAGGTTTTCACTTGACATTGACAAGGTCATTATTAGTATTATGTCAGCTTCAATACCTACAGCGATAAATTTGGTTTCAGCGTCATAAAATGTGAACACGAATTTTACAAATACGCTCTTAGGTTATAAATACGTATCCACATTTCCCTTATGTATTATTGAAGGAAAGAAATATAAGTTGCTTCCATTTCTCACACCCGTCTCTTCTTACTATTGTATATCAAGCATATTTGTGTAAAAAATGTATTCTCAGAATTATATTGCCAAGAAGCGTTATTTGTATATCTAGGATGTGATTTGTGCTAAAACTGGCTTAGGTGGTTCCGCGCCGTCCGGAGGAGAATCCTAGCGGGCAGATGCTTGCTCGAATCGGTGATTTTTCCTGATTTATCTGATAAATACCAGGAGAATGCGAATGCTGGAGCAGTACCTTAAAGCGGGCCATGGACCATGTGCGATCTTTCTTTCCTCTTCCTTGTCCTATAGCTTAGACAAGCGTAGAGCTTGTCCTGGCTGAAGCGATTCCCCTCTGATGGGTCTGGACGGGGACCCTGGACAGGGAAGAACCTTGCAAGCAGATGTGTAGGTCGTCGCCATATCTGACCAATGCCACCTCACCATAAAAAATTCACTACCCCGCACTAATGATCATTGCAGTTGACGCTCACCTAAGCACGAAATAATCAATCTACTGTTCTTACTTCCTATCTTGAAAGGGGGAGATGAGCAAATCTTCTTTTTAATGTAACCTTAAACAATTAAGATCACTGTAAAATAAAATAAAATAAAATTAATTTGGACAATCTATTGATACATTAATTGTGAAGAAGAACGTAATTATTGATTCATTTTTGATGTCAAATTCCCTGTATTGCAGCTTCTTACCCTTTTTGTTTATTTAATCGTGATAATTAAATTATTTATTGATATTTCGGAGAGTTAAATGTTTAATTGTATTGAGAAAATAATTTATTTTCAATTGTGAAAATATACCAAGGCTTTTATTTAAGAGCAAGGATAGCGTTGCACATTTCAAAGAAAAAATAAGAATACACCAAGAATAAGCATTAATATTTTCTTACGTAAATAACAAACAATACTTTGGACATCTATTTCATATTCAAATCAATATTTTACAATTCTACGTTTAAAGTGCTCTACTCAACGTTTTAGGAATTATTTTAGCATACGTATAAATGAAAAGATAGTAAATGTCCTTTACAGAAATGCATTTGAAAAATGATTTGGCATTAAACCTTTGTTACCAGAGATGTCGCCTCACCATAACCCCAATGCGCCGAACCCCCTAACCGAAGTCATTCCATCGAGTCCCGAACACAATATGCTGGTCGATCATAGGGTTAAGCGGCCTCGTCACCGCCGGGTGCTGCGGCCCTGTCCGGCATGATTGGCAACGGCGCACTTCACGGGATCTGATTCTTCCGTTTCCGCTTGCCAGCGGTGTCATCGGGCTCCTCTCCCCGTCCTTGCCCGCTCCTCCGTCCTCGCCCACCGCTGCCTCGGCGCCGTCCCGATGGTGCCGTTCGATCGGAGCGTCCCTATGGGGCCCTAACTTCCATCGGGCGAAATGTAGCGCGCCATTAACTGGCGCTTGCCAGCATGCGGGTGAAATGCGGGTGGGTGAACGTGGAGCCTTCTGCAAGGGTGGAAGGAGCAATTCGCTGTGGACTTCTGACGCTCTTGACTCCACGCAAGCGGTATGTTAAAATGAGGGAAGAGATGATTGAAAGCGGTGAGGTTCTCTGAGGCGAGAGTTTATTAAAAATTGGTTGACCTCTGTGGCACATTGCGTCCCTTTAACCTCCTTTTAGTTCATCTTATTGTGGGGTGAGCAATGAGCTTTCGCGCCAGGGATTTTCTACTTGGAAGTTCGTGTTTATCCCATTAACGCCTAGCGTCTCTATTTTAAGTTGGAGACGTATATTTTGATTTTGGAAGGTACTTTACATTAACTTGCAGATTTCTAAAAACTATGGAAATTGTTTGGTTCTAAATTTTTTGATTAAACTTTATTATCGGATAGCATTTAGAAAGATTAAAAGGTCATAGGTTTTATTTTCGTTAAAATATCTGATTTTTCCAAAACTATAAAATTTTGAAAACTTTTCGGTGTGTTCCTTCTACTACGATAATAAACGAAGATATTATTTCTTTAATCTGTTGTTTAAAGACATATATTGAAAAAAAAGTAATGTGTTCAAAAATGCTAGTTGTTTTGTATAATTTTGCATGAAATATACGCAATTTTTAAACAAATATTTTGTCAAAAAGGCTTCAAAATTTTTCATTTTATGTTTTCTTTGTACGCACCCAAGGACGATACAAATTGCGCTGGTCTTATTTTTGGTGAATTTCTGTATTTTCGAAAATTAAAATTATTACACAAGTGGAACATTGATGATGGAGATTTTTTACTTAAATAAAATTTGTTCTAGAAAAATTAGATTTTTAATAAGATCACACAAGTTTTAAAAAGGGGTAGTTTTTTCGTAATTTCAGAATGAATTTAATGCAGTTCATAAAATATTTTTTTCTGAGAAAGTTTCTTAATGCTTATTTTCTTTAATTTACCACACCGTTAGAGCAAAGGAAGGTTAAAAAGTGAGGAAGTATGTGCAGTTGTAGCAGTACTAGTTTCCATTACAACACGACGCTCCTTTTTGGAGAACGTGGAATAATGATACAGCCTACGTAAGTATAAAGATTCGAAATTACATTGAAGGTCGCACCGTACATTACAAATATTTTTACATGATATAAGTTGATTACAACAGTGTTTTTCTCTACACTGGCGCTAAGAATTTGTTGTGTAATTGCGCGCTTTGCCGTTACCACAGAAAGTAAATGTTTCTGTAATTGAAATATTTGTTGATTACTACAGTTAGTTGTCAGCACTACTAGCTTTATTGGCGCCATACATTTGTTGAGTAAATGCGCGCTTTGCGTTTTCACAGAAATTAAATGTTTCTGTAAATGAAATATTTGTTGATTACTATAGTATTGTTGTCAGCACTAGATTTATTGGCGCCATACATTTGTTGAGTAATTGCGCACTCTGCGTTTCCGCAGAAGTTAAATGTTTCTCTAAATGAAATATTTGTTGACTACTACAGTTTTGTTACCAGCACTACCAGTTTTATTGGCGCCATACATTTGTTGAGTAATTGCGCGTTTCGCATTTCCGCAGAAATTAAATGTTTCTTTACAACAAATATTTGTTAATTACAACGGTTTTGTTGTCAGCACTACTAGTTTTATTGGCGCCATACATTTGTTGAGTAATTGAGCACTTTGCCGTTTCCACAGAAGTTAAATGTTTCTTTAAATCAAATATTTGTTCATTACCACGGTTTTGTTGCCAGCACTACTAGTTTCATTGGTGCCATACACATGCGGAGTAATTGCGCGCTTTGCCGTTGCCGCAGAAATTAGCTATCGCTGAAAGTGTGCATATTGTAACAGTAGCTCGGTGTCTTCCGGGAGGAAACGAGCGCCATGACAACCGGGGGCGGGGCCAGCAGCCGCTGCGCACGGAGGGGGTTAGCGAGGCGCCCTAAACGCCAGCTGCAAATGCGCCCGGCGCGGCGGGCGGCTCCCGGTGTCCGCAGCGGCAGCGATAAAGCAGGGCGCGTCGATAAGCCAGGCGCCCCCTGGCCTCTGCCTGTACCGCTACGCGCCCCGGGCTGACGGCGCGTGTCCGGCCGTAAGGCGGAGCCGCGAGCAAGCCTAGCGGTGCCGAGGGGCTACCAGCAGGGGGAGCGTGGGGGCTAGGTCAGGTCGGTCGCACATGGTGATCGAGGGGGTGATCGTGAACGTACTAGTGAATCGTGATCGTGATAATCGTGGTAATCGTGATTGTGAACTTGTTAGTGATCGAAATAATGATCGTGATGGTGAACGCAATATTAATCGTGATAATGATCGCGTTGGTGAACATGATAGTAATCGTGATGGTGAACGTGATGA